TTGTCATTCTCTACCTGAGGCGATATGTCTGCGCGTCCGCCATGTTGGAACGGTCAAGATCCGCTTGTAAACAAACACACGTGTATTGCGAGATGAGATCTCATGAATTACATCTGCCATCACTTCCTTCAACCGATTTTCGCCAAACTTTTGTTATAATCCTCAGCCACAGACTAATCTAGGTTAAACAAACTGCTCTCGATTGCTTTTATTTCTATTTAAAGATTGTGATTGTGCTGATTAGCTGTCCGGAGCTGCAGGAAAGTATTGGGTTTGCACCTAACGTTAAAAAAAAAGTAGAAACACAATGTCACACATCATTAAGACTGCGCAGTGCTGTCGCCTCACAGCAAGAAGGGGCAAGGTTCGATTCCCCTATTGGGCAAACAGGGTCCTTTCTGTGTGGAATTTGCATGTTCTTCCCCTGTCTGCATGGGTTTCCTCCCACAGTCCAAAGACATGCAGTCGGGCCAACTGAAGACACTAAATTGTCCCTAGGTGTGAACGTGTCTGTGTGTCTGCCCTGCAATGGACTGGCAACCTGTCCAGGGTGTTTCCTGCCTTCTGCCCATTCATTGCTGGGATAGGCTCCAGCACCCCCCTCCCCCCATGACCCAGAAAGATAAGTGGCTTAGATAATGTGTGTGTAATCAGAAATCTATCAATTAAGCCTATATTTGCGAAAATATTCACATATTTCTTCACATGCAAAATACATGTGCAATATACAGTGAGGAGCAAAAATATTGGGACAATGAAGTGAAACGTGTAATTTTTGTTATTTGCATTCCAGATAAAACATGACAATGACACTAAAGCACAGAATGTGAGCTTTTATTTCTGGCCAGTGTTTTCCCTACAAAATAAAGTATACTGCTTTTTGTCATTCCCTGTGTGAAATCAATTTCAGCTGACAATAAATATTGGGACAAATGAATGACAGGTCATTCTGACTGCTCAGGTGTCCCATGTTCCTATTAATTGTAAACATAAATAGGCTATGAATGTGTAGAGTTGATTGTAGTCATTGGAGTTTGCATTAGGGGCCTTGTTTTGATGTAAAAGGTACAAAATGAGCAATCATGCAGTTCTTCCCCTGTCATGCTGGTCATGTTCAATTCTGCCCACTAGCTAGGTTCGACAGTTGTGCAATTAGTATGGAATCCTTTGAAAAAGAAAGAAGCTACAAGAACTGAAAGCACTTTACAACAATCAGATCATCCCACAAAGACCACAGGAACATTGTTAGAGCTGTGAAGGAAAACCCCAAAATACCGTTCAAAGAATAGAGAAGCTACTCTACAAGACGCAAACCTCTCATCACCACCAAGAACAGAAAAAAAGGCAAGAAAATGCAAAGAATTGATGAGCCAGAGGAGCCAGCTGTAAAGTTTTATAGACAGATGAGGTAAAGATTCATTTCATCAAGTTTTTCTGGAGAGCAGAATGAATTCTGAAATGTACATATACATCTCCTCCTCCCATGTCCAAGCAAATGCCTTCAAACTCATAATTCAGCAAGACAATGACCTAAAAGCATACTGCACACTCAACTTAGGAGTTCATCAGAATAAAATGTGGAACGTTATAGACTGGCCAAGTCAGTTTAAACCTAGTTAAGCATACTTATTACTTATTGAAGAGGAAACTGAAATTAGAACACTCTCAAAACAAGTACCAACTAAAAGAGGCCCCTATAAAGGCTCGACAGCGCAGAGTCTAGTGATATCAATGGGTCACAAACTTGAGGCAGTTATTGCATGCAAAGGCTTTGGAACCAAATACTAACTTTTAACAGCTTCATTTAGCTATACATTTATTTATACCAATACTGATGTACCCAGTACAAACTCATCAGGATACAAATGTTTCATTGTAAGATAAAGGTGATCAGTCAGAATAACTATGCGCTAATTTGCAGTAACCCTTCTGTCTAAGGGGACAGCTAGGCCCAAACAATGGCTGGAAAATTCCCCTTCACACTAAAACAGGTTCACCAGACATCATTTATGTAGGAGTCATGCATTCAAGCCTGTACAGCTCTCTTTGTGTGTGCCACACATGCACTCGTCTGCTTTTGGACAATATGGTGAAGGATGACTCACCCAACCATATCACTTTATTCCACATCTTTGTAGACTAGTACCTATGGTTTTAGCACCACTAAGGTCTCAAAAGTGCATTAGTCTTTGTAATTAGGCGTTTATGCACTGCAGCCCTACTATAACATCCCTCTCTACGTCACTGCTGACGGACAGTTTTTGCTGACGAAATCTGATCATGTCCTGCGTTGACATTCTCAGTCACTTCACATATTGCACTAATGCATGAGCATCACTGAGCACTTTTGATCACATTTTGCAATGCCATTTGTTGATGTCTTTCTCACAGATGTCACTTTAGTCACTGTTCCTGTTGAAACACTAGCCAGTTGAGCCATCTTTGTAACTGAAGCTCCTGCCATCCAAGGTCACTTTGATCTTTTCTTTTTTCTTTTATCTTTTCCTCTTGCTATCTTGATCCAAAATCAAGGTCAGCTGGGCCTACTGAACATTTTTAAACATACCACAGAGAGTGGTTGTATTATAATTGATCAGCTGTGTCTTGCGGTACACCTCTGAATGCATCTTCACTTAGAACACTCAAACACTTGTTATGTTGCTCCACTGTACTAGAGGATTTTCAGAGGGTTTTTCTATTAGTTTGTCACTCATTTGTACAAGATATTGCAATATAAGTGATGTCTTAGCACTAAAATTCCTAGTGCTAATGACAAAACTTAAATGTTTAGTAATATGCAATTGATCATGCAGTCCACCTTGGCTGTAAGTGAGAATAAAGATAAGGATAAGATTAGAGTCAGGCAGAGTGAAGGTGGTGTGCATTCAGTGGAAAATGACAAAAGCAGCTTTCCTCTAGAAGAAATTATTGCCTGCTATCTCACAGTCACTGTCTGTGTATGCAGGTGGAAGTGGGGTGCACAGATGTAGAAATGTATGTAGTATGTATTTCAATGTAGTATTTTGTCTGTGTGTAAGGGTGTGGAGAAGTTAATGTGTGTGTGAGTGTGCCCTGACAGCATCTGTATTCTGACACCTAGTGATTTTGGTTTAGCTTCGCGATCTCCCTATTGATCCCCTTCTCAAAATTCAGAGCACCTGGGGAACACACACACACACACACACACACACACACACACACACACACACACACACACAATCGCCTCTGCTATACATGTCTATATATATATATATGTCTATATATATATATATATGTCTATATCTATATATATATATATATATATATATATATATAGTATATATGTATGTATGTATGTATGTATGTATGTATGTATGTATGTATATGTATGTATGTGTGTGTGTGTGTGTGTGTGTGTGTGTGTGTGTATAATACCCTTGAACCACCATCTTTTTTAAGAGTGTAGATCAAATCAGCCTAAGCACTGTCTGAACACGTATGTATTTCTTCAATGACCTATTCATACAAAGGCCTTAACATGATCAGTTTCACAAATTGGCTTCAATTGTAATAATGATCTAGAAATAATGCAGAATTTAGAATATTTTGTCTTCATTTTGTCATAACTTTTCTTTGTTTTAATTTTTCCAAGATCCTAAAACTTTCTGTTGTTTATTTCCAGGTTTCAATGAAACAAACACCAGATTTCCAATGTGGTCTCAGACTTTTAAATTCCATGTTATGTCAAAAATATATATGTTTAAAATTTGTTGACATATATTTAAAAAATGCATATATATAGGGCCATTTCTCTCCATCCTCTGTGCCTCTATTTGCTCTCTATCTCTCTCTCTTTTGGCTCAAGCCCTCCGTTCACTGTCTCTGTGCTAGCTGTTCAGCTGGATTGTTTATATTGATCGAATGGATGTCTGCATTCCATGGCCCTTGTGCAGAGGCAAGGACAGGCATCCATGCAAACCGTGTTGCCTTATCTGCTCCGTGCTTTTTCTCCTCTCTCTTTCTCTCTCTCCCTCCTAATTTTCTTCACCACTGCTGAAAGAATGCCACCTATCTGCTTCCATCTTCCCTCATAAGTAATGTTCTGTATCCAGCTGTGGCTCTGTGCCTCTATCAGGCAGACTCACAGAGATCCAGCCTGATATAAGGTTGCAGACAAGGTCACCAAGTACAACAAGTCTACTGCACACAGATGATCAATATCATGATAGAGGTACTTGAGTACATACATATACACTCTTAACCAAGTCCATAAGATGCACCTTGTGTTCCTGACAACTGACTGACAATACTGCAGTTGTCATGTAATCATTAAAAATCATTTACCTCCAGCCTTTTTTCCATTGAATATTTCTACTTCCCTCAAACAGCCCTTCTGCAGATGTCTTCACATCTTGACCTTAAATCCAGTTTAAGGTCTATTTAGCAGGTATAACTCTTGCTGACCAATCAGCTCCAACAACAATTCAATTAACCACCGGTATTTACAAAATACAGGACTGGAAACTGGATTCAAGGTCCAGATTTGAAGACTTCTGGCTGGGGGTAACAGAAGCAGTTGACGTTTTGATCGCATATGCCTTCATAACCCTCGTGGATCATGTGCTACTGGGCTTCAAAGGCAGTTCCATGCTACCAAAACCCTACAGGGGCCTACGCTTTGATATCTGATCAAATCTGGTTATTTTTATCAGAATGAAATCAAACACTGGGCCATCACAATACATAAACACCTTATCAGCAAAGCACAGAAGCCATTCACGTGTCACTCCAACCAGCATAAAAGTTCCATGTTTCTAGAACCATTACTTTCTACTTCTAGGCCTAACAGAGCATATTACAACACAAGAGATGATGGAGCATCTGGGACAGTTATCACTATTGCCTACATTTCAAGGAATCAATGTTAACAAGCTTTGTGTACATTTAATTTTCATAGAGTTGCTGCAAGGCAGCAAAAAGAGACATTTTGAAAGGCCGGCCATCCAAAGTAAACAACTCACCCCTCGCACGGTCTGTCTGGAAACATATGCCAATAGAAGCCACCTGCCGAAACACAGGGGGAAAATGAACCAAGAATTGGAGCACATAAGAAAATAAAACGTTCAAGACAAGAAAAACAAAATTACTACAATTATGGAAGGATTTGTCTAATATCTGACCACAGACAATTCTCAAACTTCATTGCTATGATTAATCATGTTAGAGGATCCATTTTGAAAGGGCTTTGAAATCTAAATTGTTATGTGTTGGACAGAATGCTTATGATGCTCTACCATATCACAAAAGTGGTTATGCTGAAATATTTCAACAAAAGCATCCCAGGTGAGGTCAGTATGTTTAGCCATACATGGTGACCATTAGTAATGTTTGGGAGCATCTACAAATAGTTAGAAAACTCAAAAATAAGGTAACTCTAAAACATTGGGAAAATAAACCTGATTTGCCAAGAGAAGAATGCAAAGAATTGTGGAAACGGTAGGCATCTGGGTACGAAAGCACTGTAGGACAAAGTAAACTCTCACCAGAGAGAGAGGCTGGCCCAGGAAATCCAGCGGGGGCGTGTCATCTCACCCGCCACTCAGGGCGTGTTCCGGTCCTAGAAGTGCCCTCAATCTCTGTAAGTGTTTGTCTGCTGGGGCCAATTCTGTAGCTCTGCCCCTTGACCTCTTGACTGACACTCCTAAGAGCAAAATTAAGAGAGAAAAATCAATGGATTCAAAAAAGATGCAGACTCAGGGAAAGGTTTAAAGAGGGATGAATGGATGGATAGAAGAATGGATGGATGAACCAGGAATGCATTTAGATACTTTCTTCTCTGTATCTTACTCTTATTACCGCTGAGACAGAAGCAGAGGTTGAGAGAGCAAGAGAGATAATAGATGGCAATGCTGCATGTCTGCGGCTTACTGGACTGGGACAAAGTTGATCTTTCTGGATCATTTATTTTCCCTGACACACCAAAGTCAATCCTAACCAAAATGGGATTAAACTCAATTAAGACACAAAACTACCTAGACAGGATAAATAAGATAAAAGAAAATCCACCACCAGCCAAAAAATCTAAAAAAAAAAACCTGTCAAGGAGCCAGATGATTGAGATATCACACTCCATCACTAGCTTGGTAGTATGCAAAGTCAAATCCGGTTAAAATATTGATACCGATGATATTGAGTTGGTCACAGTAGTTTTACAATATTGCCTGTGACAGACTTACTATTCAGTGGCACATACACTATATGAGCAAAAGTATTGGGACCTCTTAATCATTGAATTCAAAGCCCATTGCCACATATGTATAATATCAAGTACCTAGCCATGCAGTCTGCCTTTACAAACATTTGTGAAAGAATTGGTCGTTCTAGACCAATTAAAAACTCTTTGAATTCGAGTGTGGTACTGTAGTAAGATGCCATTGTTGCAAAATTTCTTCCCTCCTAGATATTCCACGAACAACTGTGAGTGGTATTATTGAAAAGTGGAAGTGTTTAGGAACCACAGCAACTCAGCCACGTGTCAGGGAGTGCTGAGGCACATAGTGCATAAAAGTCGTCAACGCTCTGCTGACTTAATAACCGCAGAGCTCCAAACCCCCTCTGGCATTAACAGCACAAAATCTGTGCCCCCATAGCTTCATGGCATGGACTTCCATGGCTGAGCAGCAGCATGCAAGCCTTACATCACCAAGCAAGTGCCAAGCCTTGGACGGAGTGGTGTAAAGCACATCGGCACTGGACTCTGGAGCAGTGGAAACGTATTCTGTGGAGTGATGAATCACACTTCTCTATCTGGCAGTCTGATGGACGAGTATGGGTTTGGCGAATGCCAGGAGAATGTTGGCTGCTTGACTGCATTGTGCCAAGTGTAAAGTTTGGTGGAAGAGGGCTAATGCTATGGGGTTGTTTTTCAAGTGTTGGCATAAGCCCCTTAGTTCCAGTGAAGGAAAATCTTGATGCTTCAGCATACCAAGACAGTTTGGACAACTTTATGCTTCCAACTTTGTGGGAAGTGTTTGGGGAAGGCCCTTTTCTGTTCCAGCAAAGTGCACAAAGCAAGGTCCATAAAGGCATGGTTGGGTGAGTTTGGTGTGGAAGAACTTGACTGGCCCGCACAGAGCCCTGAGCCCATCGAACACTTTTAGGATGAACTAGAACGAAGATTGCGAGCCAGGCCCTCTCGTCTAACATTAGTGTTTGACCTCACAAATGCTCTTCTGGAGGAATGGGCAAAAACTCACACAGACACACTCCAAAATCTTGTAAGAAGAGCGGATGCTGTTACAGCTCCAAAAGGAGGTGGGTGGGGGGAGGGTTAGAATGGGATGTCATAAAAGCTCCTGTAGGTGTAATGTATAGGTGTCCCAATACTTTTGTCCATATAATGTACATGGGTGTGTACTTCTGTTTCACACGCTTCTTGAGCAGCTAAGCCTCAAAGCAGCGAATTGATCCAAGTGGGGAAACAGTAATAAGCTGAGTTCAGCTGAGTTAAAGGGGAACTCTGTATAATTCATGTCTGTGTAATTCAGTCATTGAGATTTAAATAAAACCACAGTTTAATTGTTTGATGAGAAACAATTCATTGTAGACAAACTAGTCAACTTTTTTTTTAAACCTGTCAAGATTTGTTTAGAGAGGTGGTGATAGGAACCAGGGGTTGCACTGTCTTTAATGCAAAAATTGACAATTTATTTACTATCCAATACCACCAGTGAACCGACATACGTTTTCTGATTTTTTTTTTTTACATTTATTTATTTATTTATTTATTTCTGTTAATATGTGACGATGACGGTAGATTTCTTTGGGGACTATTTTGCCTCACAACGCCCTACATGTAATCCTCCATCATGAATGGCTTTAAAATATATACGTTTCAGGCCAAATCCTTACGTCAAAATTATAGTAAAACAATGTCTCAGACTTTAGCATATTCAAAACCATATAACGTACTTTCTGTGAGGGAGCTTACAGACGCATTAAACTCTTTACACGTCTGGTTCCTATCACTGAGATCAATTCTGACTCGGCAAGTTTCTACAGAACGGAGCATTTCAAATCTAATCACTCTAAATGACTTTGTGTACATCGTAACCATTTAATTATGCACAAATTTGGAAAAAATCAGTGGAATTCCTCTTTAATCTGGGGAACGGCGGTAAAGTTGAGGAAACTGATGTTTCCCACCTTAAATGACAACAGCGAGTACCAAAGAAATCCCACAGAAGAGCAACGACGGTTAACCTACAATTCAAATTGAAGTTGGAACTGTGCTGTGTGCTATTAATCGGATGTTTAGTGGAGAAAGTGGAGAAGGTCGGATGTTTAGTGGAGAAAGCAAATAGGCTGACCTAATGACTTTGTGTACAGGCAGTGCGCGTTCAGAGCTTCACGGAGACAGTAAGCGTCAGTCAGACAGACGCACTCGCGGATTTAGTCCCTAGCCCGTTAAAACATCACACTAGAAGTGAGAAAGAAAGCATAAAAACCGGACTCACCTGGTCTTTCTGTTCCAGTGCCCCCCGGCGCCGACTTCACATGAAAACGGAATATAAAAACACATATAGAGGCGAAGGTACACGCCGAAAACTTTTAACAGAAACACGGCTAACTTTTAACTGTCACAGAAACGCAAAAGCCTACAGCTGCAGCGACTCGGTTTGGCTTACCGTAACGCCGCCCACGTTGAGGCTAAACTGATCTCGTCCACAGCAGAAAGAGCCAGTCACAGCGCACCATACGCGCAACTATGCTACACATTACGGTACAGAGAGTTTTCTCCACCTGAACCTTCACTGAAGTATAATTTTTATGTCAGAAACCCCCTGGGCTCCCATACTCTCGTATACAACCCGTTTTCGATGCACGCTACTTAATCTGACCACGTTTTCCTCTCAGTAATACTGACATGGCGGCGCCTTTTACGAGCGTCAGCGAAGGTCGGTTTGGGGACGCTGGCCTCGCGCGCAGGTGAATAACGCGGGAACACGGGAGGCAGTGGGGAGATACTTTGGGGATCCCCACGATTATTTATTTACCTGAGGTAGAGGCCGCTCAGTCCTTCTGGCAGAGGGAAAAAGGACACGCTTTTAGCTGTGACGCTCTGAGTGAGTGATACTGGATCACACGTGCCATGGAGCGAGTGGCTCTCGTGGGAATAACTCTGCTGCTTTTCGGACTCGCGCCGCTCGCGAACGCTGAGAGAGTAAGTAAATTGTGTTGTGTGCCTTTCACAGCTGTCTAATCCTACGAAGATGAAGTGAGCTTCTTATTTGCCAGCTTCGTGTTCGAATTTTCTCGTTCCACCTTAAATGGTGCAGCAGTTACCTTCTGGGGCCGGCGCCCGATGCGCCAGAAAGTAACCGCTGCACCATTTAAGGTGGAACGGGAAAATTCGAACCAGAGGCTGACTTCACTAACTAAGGCTACTCCTTAACGTTACATGTTGATTTCTTAGGAAAGATGTGACTGGTGATTTTTCAGAGTAGCAGGTTGTGAATCAGTTGGGTTTAGTAGAATTTGTGAAGACTCCTGTCAGAAGTTCCTGTCAGAGACTAGAGAGAGACTGACTCCATTCTTCCTTTCCCGGGTTTGTTCAGTTGCGTTTTTTATGAGCGAGGATGTGACAAAGAAAGAGGAACTGACTCCAGGTGAGGAATTTCTTTTCTTTTAATAGCAGCCGTTAAATTTCAGTCTTTTATGGTTAAAAAAAAAAACAAAACCTTAAACCGAACACACTGAATGACTTAACGTGTAAACTTTTAAGAGGAGGGAAACGCCCCTTTAATAGTATTGTCACCGTAGGCAAGTTGCTGTTATTGTAACATTGATTCGGATGTATTTGATGTGACTGTGGTTTGGTATCTGTTGCAGTTTTGCAGTGAAAACCAGTAGGAGCGCTCTAGGGCGTGACGTCACACGTGCCAAGCGCAAACTGTGACCCAAAGTGTCCAAGGCCTCTGAAACTGTTCAGATGATTGTATCTATAATGATTAAAACTGAGATTTGTGTGGTTGGGCTTTGGGCTTGCACACACACACTTAGGACAGATCTGCACAGAATCATTATTTCCCTGAATTGAAAATGAGTGCTGATTGAAAATGATGACACAGCCACGTTTTGTGGTCATAAACAGTTTAATAATGCATTTGTTTGAAAAACCTAACAAAACAAAATCAGAAAAATAAACCTTTGCTGTTTTCACTGGTAACCACCTAAATAATACCTGCCTTGTGGTGGTCCTGACGATTGAAAAAAGGGTAAAAGGGGGGTAAAAAAGTATGCAGAGAAACAGATGGACTACAGTCTGTAATTGTTGAACTACAAAGTGCACCTCCTATGCTAAATGTAGCTGATGAATCAACAGTGAGTGTAGAAATAGGGAGGCATACTTCATGAAGTGATAGGTCGGTGTATATGTATTCAATGTACATTATATGGCCAAAAATATGTAGACACCTGCCCATCACACCTGTATGAGCTCGTTTTACGTCCCACAGCTATAACAGCCTCCACTTACCTGGGAAAGCTTTCCAGAAGATTTTAGAGTGTGTCTGTGGGTATTTATGCTCATTCAAAAGAGAATTTGGGAAGTCAGACACTAATGTTGGACGAGAAGGCCTGACTGGTGATCAACATCCAAGTTCATCCCAAATGTGTTAAGTGGGATTGAGGTCAGGGCTCTGTGCAGGCCACAGTAGTTCCTCAACACCAACCTCATCAAACCATGCCTTTATGTACCTCACCTTGCGCATAGGAGCACAGTCATGCTGAAACAGGACAGGGCGGTCCCCAGACTGCTGCATATAATTGTGTATAGTGTCTTTGTGTGCTGTATCATTAACATTACTCTTTACTAGAACTAAGAGGCTGAGACAAATCCTGGAGAAACAGCCCAAGACCATTATTCCTCCTCCACCAAACTTTACTGTTGGCACTTTGCATTCCAGTAGAAAGCTAGCATCCTAGCATCCATCAAACCCATTTTTATCCATCAGAATGCTAGTGTGAATTATCACTCGAGAGAACACTAGAGGTGGTAATGGCTACCGTCACAACAACCTTTTCTTTTTACTTTACACAATAATGAATAGTACTTTTGTAATTTTGTATTTTACTATTTATAATCCAGCAAACATCAGCAATGATGCCCTCTGACTTTCTTGAACCTTGCTTGTACATCTGGCAGTTCTCTTTGATGTGAGGCTCAAGTCTGTGTTGAATGTTCTTAAACATAATTTTACAGGTATGTGATATTAAGAAAATTATTTAACCAAATTATTTAACCAAAACTTCCTCGGAAGCTTGAAATATTCCCATTGAAATGGTATTGATTCCTCTGGCATTGTTCTTTGGCAATGATCCGATCCTAGGGCCAGTCTGACTTTATCTTCTAGCACGAAAGGTTCATTTGTGTAGCCAAAAGTGTCTTGGAAATTGAAATCTTTTTTGCTGAGGTCTTCTGTATACTATTTCCATCTTTTTTTCTCCACTGTAACACTGTAATGACGGTACCAGTCATCCTCTTTGATTTCTTTCTCTTTTTCATTCCTCCCAGGTTTTTCTATAGTATATGGCTCCTCTGGTTCTCTGTTAATTATGTCCAGCGTTTGAAAAATTGATTTCTGATGTTTGCTTTGAAGACAGGTGCCATGTTCTCCAAGTCATATTTTGGTAATTTATCATATGTTGTTTTGTTTATTCTCAACTTCACTTGGAGCTTATACATTAGAAGTTCATAATCTTGTCTTTGCGACTATAATGGAGCTCTTCCATCTCTTGGTGCAAAAAAATGTAGTCTACTTGGTTTCAGTGACATCCATCTGGTGGTGTCCAGACACTCGACAAATCATTCTGTTGTATCTGTCGTTTTTGTTTTCTTGGTAAAGTACAGGAGTGCTTCACCATTGCCTTATTCCACAGAGTTATATTGATGTCTTTGCTGTTGTGATCTCTGTGATCATCTGCCAGTGGCATCGTCCTGTATTGCTGCTGCCCAGTATAAGTGATAGGTATAGTCTGGCACCTCTGCTAAGACTTTTAGGAGACCCTAAAAGGAGTTAAAACTCCAGGCAGCATATCTCTCTGCTTCCTCTATGCACGCAAGCCTCTTCACCTTGACAAGGTTCCAGCCCATGAGCAGGATATATAATTCAAAACATAAAAAGTTGTTTCTGATTGATGTCCCGTCTTTATACAACTATTCGTATTGATTAGTCAGTCCACTAAAGATGTGCTTAGTAGAATCAGATTCATTTCAAATTATGTTCATGCCCATAATGAAAGATACTCAATCTCAATATGCTTAGTCAGTCTCCAACATGACATATACTGAAAGGATTCTGTGCTGTGCGAAGGGTTCAATACAATGCAAACTGTATGACTCTGTATTCTAAGTGAAACCTCTATGAAAATGTTGTTTAGGTGCCATTTTAAACTCCTTTTTCTTATTCTCAGACAAATACATACAAAAATAGCAGGAAGCACCTTGTATGAAGTTATCCATTTTCTTGACTAGACGATAGTGAGTGATTTGTTGGGGGGCCTGGCTTGCCTTAACTCATTTAAACAGATAGTTACTCTCATCCTGGGCCCCTGCAGACATGCAAGTCGTAAAACCATGAAAGGCATCTCTTTAAACGGCCGAGGATGGTACAGATGTGATGTACGTCTGTTTTGTGGTTGTAGTGAAAGTTGAAATAGGGGTTTAAAAAAAGAATGGTTGCTGTAGCTTGGTGCCTTCTCACAATGTCAAAGGCAATAAAATGACTGCTGTTAAATGTTTTGTGTCAGTGTTTTAAAGAACCTATAACCCACTTTCCATTGACTGATTGTGACACCATTGAGGGCAGCCCAGTAGCTAGAGAACCATGATTCAGCAGACCATGTGTTTTGTCCCAGCTGACGGGTTACCGGGCCCTTCAGCGATACACTTAACCCCAATTTACTCGCTGCACTGTACTGTCAGCTAAATGATAAACAAACTTCTAGAGCATTGAAAACAGGGCTTGTTGCTGCTTGCATAAAGCCTCAAAAGTGAATTTAAAAACATGTTTAGTGAATGTAAGTGTAATGTGAGTGTAAGTTTTACACAACTTACCCTAAGTGAGCTCCATGATCTCTTCAGGAGCCGTATTCGTTAGGCTTCTCAGAGTTGGAGTGCTGATCTAGTATCAGATTCCTTTCATATTTACTGACAGGAGCAGATCCTTAATCAGTGCTCATACTCTGAGAAGGCCTTATGAATACAAGCTCAGGGAAATATCCTTAAAGTTAACCTGAAATCAAAAATGACCATTTTGTTAATTCATATGTAAACATAACAACTTTTACCTGCCTAATAAATATTTAAACGATTTAAATACTTAAGATGTTTTATCCGGCCACTGGTCATTAGTGAGAGTTTTTCTTATGCTTTTCTTAGATAACATTGATGTTTTTTAATTGTTTTCTGTTTGGAGTCATTACTTGGCTCTTTCCTGTCCTCTTTTTTCTCTATTTCTGTTAACCTCTCTCTCTCTCTCTCTCTCTCTCGCTCTCTCGCTCTCTCGCTCTCGCTCTCATATGGTATTCGGTAACACACTGATGCCATCAACCCTCCTCAGCTCCCGTTTTCATTCACTCCTTTTCCCTTAGTTTACTGGATAAATTAAAACTTACTTAGCCTAGCTGCTATCTGGATAAGCTATGTTTAATTAGTTGATGAAGGCTTGGATGAAAATACTAACACAAAACATAATAGCAGGATCTGAGATTTGATTCAACTCATCAGCAAATTATGATGCCTGACTGATGCCTGTGTGTGTGTGTGTGTGTGTGTGTGTGGCTGTGCTTTATAATGTATGGTCAATGGACTTATATTTGAACCTTTCCTCACTATTTTTTTTATAGCCCCCTTATCAGAGGACGACATCTGTTTATGCAGGTTCTGTCTTGCATTCCTACCCCATGTTTCTCACACGCACACACTCTCACTCTGAAATACCTATCAACATCACATGCACACCAGCTCATTGGCCGGTTCATTGTTCTAAGAACACCAGCAGCTTCTTTGTTTGATTTGCACATTTTGTTCTTTTTTTTGTCTATAACAGCTTCTTGACATGTACGTGTCACATGTCTTCTCATTGCAAAAAGATGGACAAATGGAAATCCATTGATTTTCACATCATAAGCAAGCTATCTCCCAAAGATTTACGCTTTAAG